TGTTTCTCAATTTTTGATCATGCAGATGGACCAAGGAGCTTGGCAACGAGAATGGTCCAGGCAAGTACTTGGTTTGCACCGGCCTCAATTCCAGTTTCTTTGTTGGCCCAAGCTGCTCACAAAATACCAGAAAAGCATCAAGGGACATGGTTATGGAGAAAGCTGATGAATTCTCTAACTTGTGGCTTTACTTCATCATACACCAAAAAATCAGAAGCAGAAGCGACTTCCCTGTTGTTAAGGTTTAACATTGCTAGAAGCAGCACCAAGCAAGACCATATTCATTTCCATGAACTCATCAAGCTTTATGCTCGCATGAGAGTAGTGACCGGAGTTGCACAAGCGATGGTTCAAGCTGTCATCACTCGTGGATCGATATCTCAACACTCGGAACATATCTGGGCAGCCTGTTTCTTGATATTTGGATTCGGGCATGACCCTGCAGTCGTTGAACTTAAGGTGTCGGACCTGCTGTACCTTGTCAAGGAAGTGGTGTTGCCTCATGCAATCCGGACCTTCATAACATTCTCTCGTTGCAATGCTGCCCTAGAACTCCTCCGCCTATGCACCAACGCCCTGGAAGCAGCAGACCAAGCGTTCGTAACCCCAGTCGAGAAGTGGCTCGATAAATCTCTTTGTTGGAGGCCGATCCAGACTAATGCTCAGCTGAATCCTTACCTTTGGCAGGAGCTCGCACTATCAAGAGCCACAGTGCTAGAAACTAGGGCAAAGCTGATGCTAAGAGGGGGACAATTCGACATAGCAGATGATCTAATTAGGAAGGCGCTTTTTATCAGAACTTCAATTTGTGGCGAAGATCACCAAGACACCGTAGCTGCTCGTGAAACTCTTGGCAAAATCACCAGGCTTCTTGCAAATGTTCGTATTCATACTTCACCATAGATCTCATAGTTTTTGGAAGCAGATTTTATTGTTGCATTTATACAGAGTCTGAAATAAAACAGTTGTATACCCCATTCCCATAGAATTTCCATACCAATTTTTAGTCTGAAAGAGATTCCATATTGTAAGTAAAACTGTAACGCGCCTTCGGAGTTTTTGACGGATTGTTGGATGATGGCTTGCTGGAAACAGTCATCTCCATTCGCTTATGGTGTTGCTATGCGGAATTTGTGAGCAACTCCAGTTAGGTAAGGCAGTGTTCTCGTTCCTTTGCACTGAGTTCGACGCTCCACTAATTAGTGTAATTTAGAAGAGACAGGTTTTAGATTATGGAAGGATGCAACATTGTTGTATATGATCATACTTGTCTTTCGTTGCTCTTATGATGAAGATCGTTTACAGTTACGTCTGAAGTTTCGTAATCGAATCTCTCTCCCATATGTGGCTTGTATCTAACTTGCAACTTTTTTTCCGCTTTAAGTTTCCGACTTTAACAAAATAATGAGTTTTATTTCCGCTCTAAAAACAGTTATGAAAAATTGGACAAGAGTTTAGTTCATATATTTGTCGGTGAACAATTAGTTTATTTTTTGTCGAAACACAAATAAATGGTCTGACAATATGTAAGAAACGAACAATTTTTGTCAAAGGCTGAGACGAGTAATGCGTAGTTGTCAGCAATCCATCCGTCCATCACATCCATCTTCTCTGTTGGAGTGTATGATTGACTGATACAAGTGGGACGCGGTTCGAAAGTGTACTTTTTACTTAAATGTTTTGACGTGACACCTTCTTCACTTTCATCCAAAACATTATATTATAATCTGGATAATTTAAAGAGAAAATAAGAATGGCAATAACAATGTTTTTAATAAGGTTAATATCAGTTTACTACCTTTAACTTTCGTGGTTTTCAACATTTAGTACATGAAGTTTTTTTGTTTCAGAATCATACCTAAAGTGTTAATTTTAGGATAGTCTCATACATCCGTTAGTCCGGCAGTTAAGTCTTCTGTTAACTGGTGACATGATGCCCACGTGGATACTGATTAGGCGCCACATGTCAATAAGGGTCTCATGTGGATATTAAAAATTAAAAAATTACAAAAGAAAAAGTTTGTCTTCTTCCTCAACAGAACTCGCCCGATCCCCGGCACCCACCCAAGTCGCCGTCGCCGCTGCCGCCGCCCCATCCCTAGTCGACCCGCCCCACCTCCTCCAGGTGTGCACCATTCTCTACCAGAAACAGAACTCGCCCGAGTCACGTCTCCACTCAAACCTCCACTCCTCCGCCTTCCAACTCACCCACGAGTTCTTCCTTCAGGTCTGCAACTCCTTCCCCCTTTCATGGCGGCCCGTTTACCTTTTCTTCTGATACACTCAGTCCCACCACCCCGATTTCACCCACACCGCCGTCTCCTAGCAATATATATTTATGGGTAATCAAAACCTAATAACTTCACAAACCAAGTTTGGAATAAAAAAAATTTCTAAGGAAAAGAGATTAAAAATGGAAAACTTTGAATATTATTAAAAAAAACCCAACAATTTTGTTCAAGAAAAATAGAAAGATAGGAAAAAATCTTTACCTTCCAAAACATTGAAGTGTGTTTTGGATCAGATGAGGGAATCAAGTTGTTAAATCCATATTTCTAAGCGGATATGTGTGAATTTTGTAAGTTATTTACAAGTTGAGGTCGGTGTTGTTTCTTATTGTTGGCGAAGTGAAATTTGTAAAGGGAGGAGTCGCAGAAGGTGGGATAGAGATGAAGGAGAGGGACCTGGGTTCTTTGTGGAGGGAGGTGTTGTTGGTGGAGACGTTGCTGATCTCGGTCTTCTTGGATTCGGGTTCGTTGGGGAGTTTAGGTGTGGTGTGTGGGTGAAAATGGCGGTTTGGGGAGTTTGGGAGTGGGTTGTCGGGAGGAGAAGTGGGTGTGGGATATAGTTGGCTAGAGAAGATAGCGGCGACAAGGTGGGTACTTCGGAGAAGATGGAGGTGGGTGGGACGCGGAGGAGAGAAAGGAGGGAGATCGAACTCTTCCTCTTGGAGGAAGACGATTGGGCCTAGATTTTTAAAATTTTAATTTTAATTTTTTTTAAATATCCACGTGGTCATATTGACACGTGACTTCATGTCATTGTTCATGTAGGTGCCACGTCACCAGTTAACGGTTGATTTAACAGCAACCCTAACAGATATATGAAATTGTTCCAAAATTATGACTTCATGTACCACAATTATAACTTCTTGTACCACTTTAGGATGAAAAAAACTTGATGTATTAAACCCTATTTAATGAAAAAAAATAAAATTTTAAATTAAAAATAAAGAAGGAAAAATGATGAAAAAGTGCCCTCACGCAGGATCGAACTACGGACCTTCAGTTTACAAGACTGACGCTCTACCACTGAGCTATAAGGGCTAATTGGTGATTTAAAGGTCATTTTTTGTATTTAAATGTTAAATTTGAGCAAATGTATTGTTGAGTTTTTCTCTTCAACCTCCCTCTTATGTTGAGTTTTTTAATTGATAGACTTTCACGAATTTAATAGACTTTCACATATTCATACAATTCTAGACTTTTAATGATATATGTTTGTGGAAAAGAAATGAGTTAAATAATAGACTTTTGCACAATTCTAGAGAGTTCAATGCTATCCTCTGGATTGTCATAAACTTTTTAATTACCAATTTATTATTAAGTATTATTTTTTAATTTTCATTATTGAAATTGTAACTTGGTGATCATGACCATGACAAAGTGGTCTTATGAGGTGGTGGTGGCAACGATGGTGGTGATTGTGGTGGCGGGATGATGCTCGGGTGGTAGAGGAGTAGGGATGGGGGAAATGGTGATGGTGGTGGTTGAGGTGGCGGTCATGGTGATGATGTTTTAGTTGGGGGTCATAGTAGGGGTGTCAATGATGCTCATGGAAATGATTATGGTGGAAGTGGTGGCTGTGGGGGTGGAGGAGATGGTCATATGGTAAGGTGGTGGTGGAAGTCATGATAATGATAATCATTACATTATGGTAGGTGATGGAGTATATCAACACAGAATTGGAAAAAATGAATCCAGAAAAATCCCAAGGGAAAAGTTGGATTTGCTATGACACAAAAAAACTTACTATAAAAACACTCAAAGTCCATCAAAATCCATTGCTTTTTAAAATCCTTTAAAGCAAGTGAATTTTGAAAACACCTGAATTTTTGTAGACTAATAAAAAGTCATAAATAAATACCACAAGATTTCTATAGACTTTTTAGAAGTCATAAAAGTCTTTGTTCAATACAGGGTGACTTTTGTGGACTCCTTAAAAGTCTATGTTGAATACACTTGGATTTGAAAGTCAAGCAAAATCCGTCAAACTCTATATACAATACACCCTCTTAGTCTAGATTAGAGGAGTTCACTCAATCTACTTTTATTTCATGGAAATTAAAATGGAATTAACTTGACTCCTCAATAGATGAGGAGTTCCTCATCACAATACTTTGTGACCGAGTCAGTGTTTATGATCGGAATTATTCATATTATAAATCACTCTATAAAAATCATCTCTGCAACAAATAAATAAAATATGAGATTATTTATTCAACTTGTATAAAAACAAATGGTCGGATTTGGCAGACACATTGAACCGTCTATTTGCTATAGCTAATTTAACTTAACGACCTTTATTTTCAATTGATTTTTTCACATATGATCTTTACAAAGTGATTTATAATATGAACAATTTCAATCATAAGCACAATATTCTGTGAATCGACCACAAAGTGTTTTGAAGAGGAACTCCTCAACCTTAAAGGAGCCAAGCATTCCTCAACCTAAGTTTCTAATGCATCGTTCGAATCCATGTTCACAGTTCACCGTTCGCATCCAACCAACTCTTCATCTAGTGATATTTTTCTTCCGAATATTGGATGAGCTCCAAGTTCAAATACTCACCCGATTGATCTAGCGGTACCTTCTTTCTATTATTGGTGTTTATGCAGAGAATTCAAGCATAAGAGACCAGAACGTACCGGTCGCATATGCATAATGATGCATATGGAGAGTAGAATATAAGCTCTTCCACTCCCAACACTAAATGAATATCCAAAACAATAAATCATAGTCGATTAATTTACACAACCTCCACGAACAGCAATGAAACAAGGGCAGGGTTTTTTTCCACGAGCCCCAAGTTTTTTTGGGTTTAATTTCCATTTAAGCAGAACATAATGTACAACAGATGATAAATTTGGCCAGCGTTATATACCTATGGATCGGCTTGGCCTGCGACTGCATCATCCCCGGAGTCATACTCATCTTCGCTCAGCTCCTCATCACTTGATTGCTCCTCTGGGGCACCCCCTACATCTTCCGCCTTTGCATATTTCTCACAATACTCTGTAAATTTCAAAGAATAATCAGCAAAACATCCACAAACAATGATCCTAAACAGAATGACGGTGAAATAGGGTCAGGCCATTGGTCCAGTTTATGTAGAGATGTTGAAAGCAGTGACACTATGAATTATATTTGGTTCTGCGAGCTCATCACCCTCTGAACCGACAGAATTGAATTACAATTTTCCCAAAATCTTTCCAATGCATTTTCCTATTAGGCGTAGTTATGGATTGTACCCTTAATCCTTTGGGGAAAGTCCTCTAATCCATTTAACTGTAACTATAGAATGGACAGTAATGTCTGATTTCCAAAGTAGAAAATATATGTGAGGCATAGAAGTTTCAAAAGCCTACACTTAATATAGCTAAACTTTACTAGTTGCACATGACTTAATATTCAAAGGAATTGAAAGCTTCGGACAAAGTACTAGCGGTGTCATTTGACATCTGGAGTTGTTAAAAAGCTAGATTAAAAGGCCACCCACCCCCCAAGTCTTGAACTACACATTGATTTGGAACTCAAGTAGACCTTGAAGCCTCAAATCTTTTCCACCTAATTCGACTACCGAGAGTTAAATTTCATAACACTTTAAACCAATTTAAATGTTCAACTAAACCAACAACAAAAACTATATATTTAAACATCACAGGTTGAGGACCTTCGAACACTTTCTCAAATACTGTCGGGTTAAGATTTCAAAATTCTATGGCTCCTACAGCAAAAGCAGTATATGTGAACAATGAAAAGAAGAAATTAAAAGGAAGTTCACGTATGTCAGGAAACACATATAAGAGACAACCAATATATACTCAATTTACAAATGCTGCATTACTACCTTTTACTCTTTGATCATAAGCAGTGTGATCGCGCATCATCAAAGCAGCAGCTTCTCCATTCAATGGATCCGATGGGTTGGGATATAAAAGAAGTTGAGGCAGAAACACTTCAAATACATTAACCAGGTCTGAACATAGTTAAGAAAGAAAAGACGTAAATCCTCGTCTCGTCAAGGTAGCAAAACTAGTTATAAAAGTATAACTACATGGTACAAATAAAAGTAAAATGTCTTGGTCTCCAGATAAACCGTATCAATTTTACAGGTACAAGAAAACATGTATAGGCCTACCAAACATGGGGCTCCAAGTTTGGTTGATAACATCTAAACAAACTGATCCTGACCTGGAACTCAAAAAAGCACCATTAGCCAGACTTAAGTACAAGCTTTGCACTATGTTCAAGTTTTACAAACAATTCCATAATTTATTAGAAGGTAAAATACAACTAAAACAAAGCTAAAGTACTGAATTTTCAGCACCTTTCCACTCACATTTCATCAACATTTGGGTGGTAAATTTTGTTGACAAAGCCGATAGATGGAGATTTGTAAGGATAAGCATCCGGTAACTCCACCCTTATCCTCCAGACACCTTCTTGATACGGGCCTGCCACATTCCGTTCAACCAAAAAAAAAAAATATCCCACTTCATTCAATATCCATATTACCCAGAAGAAAAAGTACCTATAAACTTCCTCCTGTTGAAGAAAAACACTAAACAAAAACTTGCAGCCCCACTTATGCACAAGCAGTAAAGCGAAATCTATGTCGAAATTCTGAAATCACACCCTAATCTAAATTGATACAATTTTAAAAGCACTTTAATCCATGGCCAAATCAGTTAATTCAGATAACTTTAAGTAAGTTCCCACTACTATAATAATTCAGAGAGAACATAAAAAAAGAAGAAGAAAAACAGATAAATCCAAAAACCCAAAACAACTTGCACATGATCAACACAAAAGAACACATCTTTGCATAAAATGGATAAAACCCATCAAAAATATCACCAAAAATAGCTGAAATTTAAATAAGAACACACAAAGATTAAAAAAAAATGAAAAAAAAAAAACCATGTTATGGGTTCGAATGATTTACTCTCTTTGGGGCCTTTGAAATCCACATAAAACTCTTGCATGCCGTCATTGATCATCTCCACCTTGTAATCACTCATCATCCTGGTTCATACCAACCAAAACAAAATAGAACAAACGAGAAATTAAATAATCATAATTAGAAAAAAAATAAAAAAGAAACAATATTTATACAAATAAGAGAAATTATACAGTTTCATCAAATCCATCTCACGGCGTTTGCTTGGGGAAGACATTTTTTGTGGTTCGGTCGGGTTTTTTGGGGTGAGAGAGAGAGAGAGAGAGAAAGAGGCTGAGAGAGATTTTGAGAGCTTTCTGCAACAAAAATAATAAATTGAGACAAAAATTGAGAGAGATACGACTGAAATATATATACGTGTTCAGAAAAGTCGGCTACTTTGCAATGATGGTCCAGTAAATTTCTTGAGTTACCGCTAGATTTCCAAAGGCCCACAGTAGGTTCCAGAACTAAAGTAAAAAAGAAAAGGAAAAGAAAAGAGGACAGAGAGAGTAATTACATGAGTATAGGGTAAATTCCTCTTTTGACAAAGTGGTCAAATAGTAAGTACAATTTCTCTTTTCTTTTTGCTTAAATAGTAATTTCAAGATTCATTGCATTTTTCTTAGATTTTTGTTTCCTTTTGATTTTTGGAGTTGTGCTAGGGATAACATCCTGGCCCGCGAATATAGGTAATTTGTGGACGGTTTTTTTGTCATTCACACACGTGTGACCGTTTATTAATAGTATGCGTTTAATTTTGTTAATTCATTCATTTGTTTAAACTGAATGGGGATCACCTATAATACTATGAGATTTTCTATTCTATTACAATAAACTTGCAGATGCATTATTTAATAGGGTTTTGTTGTTTTTGAATTCATTGGAGACGTGGAGTGTTGACAACTTTAGTTCTTTTCAAAAATAATTTATGCTATAATTTCGAATTTTTCAAGGTTTGCTTGTAGAGCTGATTTTCAATTAATCTGAATGTAAACTACCTCAAAAAAATTTTTTGAGAAAAAAATTGTCAAGGACCATTTAAATTGTTAGAGATGGGCGCAAACACCACAAAAATTAAAATCTTGCTATTTTGCCGTTTATATTAATCTTCGTTAAAAATTTCATCATTTTTCCTTTAAATACTACATTTCTTGTTATACATCACATCACTTATTGCCTCACTTTAAATCTAGGCCGTTGAGGTAAAAGGTTGAAATTTTTTTAGGCATGCACGTGTACAAGATGATAGTGGTACTCATCCAAGTTTAGGCTTTAAATCTTGATGCATAAAAATTTAACTAGACAAATAACCATTATCTAGTCTATACTAGATTACATGCATAAGGTGGGAGTGGCATATAATCCAAGCCACCCATTTGGGTGCACAGTAGTAGATACCCAACTTGTGACAGCCCGTCCCTAGTTCTACAATTTTATAAATTTTAAATGAATAAATTTACGAAAATGCCCTAGAGGCAAGGACTTTGACTTCCATTGACCATCGGTTAGAGAGACGTATGACTTATTCTTTTAGCATATCCTCGTAGTACTCGTTGGTACGAACGCATAGGCGAAAACCGTTTGCGAGTCCGGATTATATCGGTATAGTTAGAGACATTTAAAATTGGTTATTTAAGGTTTAGTTATAAATTAATTCAAACTCCCACCATGTGTGAGTGGTAACAAATCAATTTTAAAAGAAAAAGAAAATAGAAAAAAAAAAACAAAAAAAACAAAAGAAGAAAGAAAAAGGGAGAAGAAGGAGCTGCCTGATGACAGCGAAAGAGAGGGGAGGAAGATAGCACAGGAGGGACCAGGATAAAGGATGGCCCAGTGAGGGAAAAGAGAAAGGAGGAAAAAGGAGGGAGGAGAAAAAGGAGGGGAACCAGATCTGTTCCCCTTGACCCTCGAAACCCACGGACCCGACATGTATTCTGGCAATTTTCGTCGCCTTTCTACCATTTTTCCGAGGATTTGGACCGATTTACTACTCCCAGTCATCATCTAGCCTTCCCCTCTTCCATATCCACCTAAAATTTGTAGGAATTTGGGTGTAAATTCATCAAAGGGCCGATGGCAGGGCTAAAGGGTTCGTGGTGGCCATTCCTCAAATTCTGAAACAAAACCCTTAAATTACCACCACCAAAATACTCCACTTAAGCTTAGCAACAAAGCCCAAACAAGTTTAGGGGCGTCGGAGTTGCTACAGAGCCGAATTGAGGACACCCAAATTATAGGGTTCGGCGGGTTCGTGTGAAATTGGGGTTTTTCCCGGCCAAATTGGCCTTGGTCGCAGGTGACATTGGTTCGTGATGTCTTGATATGCGTACTAGGGAGTCATAGCGCATACCTTAGGTGAGTGGGTCCTTTCCTTTCTATCGTATATATACATATGATTGATAATTCCACAAACATGTTTAAGTTGATTTATGCATGTTACCTACAAATAATTGATGTGAACTACGATTGGCTTGATCCCTGTTTAGGATACGTAGGCAGTCTAACGAGACGTTAGATGTAGCCATACAATAAATGAGATTAAATAATCGAGACAAAAGCCTTGTTTGGGAATTGAGCAATGTGAAGGAAGTTGGTGAAAAGGTGAGATTTAACCTTATGATTTTGGTGTTAAATGTTGGTCATAAATCAATGTGTGAGGAATTGAGAGATTAAAGTAAAGAATCCTAAATAATGATGGTCAATTAAACTAATATTTAGTTGGACTTGTTCTCGATAATTATTCCCGAAATAAATAATTCGAGAGTGGGGTGTTACAGATTATGCATATTTCGCCATGTTATATATATATATATATATATATGTATATATATATATATGTATGTATATACTGGTAAATGCTATGACATGGTTGAGTATTAGATTGCATCATGACATATCCATATGTATACTACCTGTAAGGAATTACTGTGAATGCTTTGAAGTGCAAAGAGGAACGCAGGACGCACAGGTAAGTTCAGGTAAGTTTATGGTGTTACTTGAAATGATTGAGTTATGGCATGACTATATTTATACTTTAGGCAACTCCGACCTTGTCGTACAGGTTGCAATAATAGGCAACTCTGACACTATCGTATAGGTTGCCCATGAGTCGTACATGTTATAATAGATGCAGTTAGAGCTCATAAACCTGCACCCCGGTGTTAGTGCTCCTGCATGTGGTTAGGGCACAGTCCTTCACATGATGTTCACCTCCCGCACCTTACGTTCACCTTGGATCCAAGGTAGGTGCACAGTCCTGTCGTACAGATCACTACAGGTGGTTCCGACTCGTAGGTGACCCGCGATTATTCGTACAGTCTTCACGTGATCGTAGCACTTGAGTGTACTTATTTACACCCAATCCTGTCGTACAGACCACTAGAGGTGGTTCCGACTCGTGTGTAGGGATATGTAATGAGCCATGGGTTCAGCCGTACAGGCCACAAGAGGTGGATCCAGCTGACATATTACTTGGATATTGATTGATGAGATATGGATGAGTCGTACAGGTCACTATAGGTGACTCCGACTTATGAGCTAGCATTGATTGATGAGATATGAATGAGTCGTACAGGTCACTACAAGTGATTCCAACTTATGTGCTAGCATTGATTGATGAGATATGGATGAGTCGTACAGGTCATTATAGGTGACTCTGACTTATGAACTAGCATTGATTGATGAGATATGGATAAGTTGTACATGTCACTATAGGTGACTCCGACTTGTGTGCTAATATAGATTATTGAGCACATGATTATTTATATTACTGATGAGATGTTATGTCATGGTATATTTATGGAATTACTATTGATATATTTTTGATCTCACATTGATACGTGATATGATTTTCTGGAAACTATACAGGTATTGCATCGAGGGGTTATAACGTTTTAGAAGGCTTTTATTAAAAAATTTATTTCCAGGGCCACTCACCCTTGTTTTGTTTTCACCCTCCAGGTTTTATTAGCTGAGCTTTCTTATCGATGAGGGGTCGTGGAAAATCTTAGTATTGGAGATTTCTTTCAAGGGTATGACTCTCAATCCACTATACTGTACTTACTTATGCTCTAACGTCACGTGTGAAGTGGGTTCATTCCCGCTCACCATCGCACTCTGGTAATTAGGCACTCTTAGGTTCAAATTTATTCATATTTTTCCACATCATCACATTTTATGGCTTCGTCACCTTCCAAGTGTCAGCCAGCACAGCTCGATTCGAAGTCCTTGTGGACATTCTGGGTTGGAGTGTGTCACAACTCCTTCTTAATTGCTCCTAAATTTTCAATTTCAACATCTTCCTACACCACCTACTAAGAGTTATACATGTGTTAAATAATAAACACCACACATAAGGCAAAGTGTTGAAAGTATTCTACATTGGAGATGAAATTCTTGTATCAAAAGTTTAACAGATTTTGAACTTATTATTTACAAAATGAACATCGAAGAGTTGTTCTTAGCACTTTTGCCTACATCAATGATCTTTTAATAACATGTTCTCTCTCTCTCTCTCTCTCTCTCTCTCTTTCTCTCTCTCTCTCTCTCTCTCTCTCCCTCCCCCCCTCACTCTCTCTCTCTCTTACATGCACCATATCTTACTTAGTGATGAAGCCAGGATTTCTAGTTAGGAGGGGCCTCTCATAAATGTCAAAAAAATTAAATAGATAGTATTTACAAAACTATTAAGCAAAACATAGCATCGATAATATTACATATTCCAAATAATTAAAATAATTCTCCTTGACGAGTTTTCATACTTTGAAACCATTGCATGATACCCTCGTCCTCTATACTGTTAAAAATATCCTTCTCAATATAAGCAACCAAACAATTGTTCATCCATAAATTCGATTGCGTATGGTGTTCTTCACAATGTTCATAACAAAAAAGACTCACTCTACACTTGTAGTTGCAACCGATAAGATGAGTATCAGTGTTAAAAGCAAGTACACTAACGAGTAAGTCAAAACTTTCTTGGTTTTAGCCATCTTTTGTGCAAGATCACTAATTTCTTTCAAATCTGCAAACACATTATTAAAGGTCATGTCCCATATGTAATTCTCAAGCTGTTCTTTGAGTAACTCAAGATCATGCTCCAAAAAATCACTTGGATAAAATTGGGCAAGACTCATCAATTTTTCTTTGTCAAAAGCTGAGAAAAAAATTATTTTTGACTACAACATGCCACACAAAGAAGTAGTTCAGTATTCTTCTCAGTAAATCGATCATTTAACTCAGTCAGTTGCTTATCTATGACATTGTTGAATAAATCAACACGATAATGGTGCAAGTTTGTGATGTGATGAGCTTTTCAGTTTGGCTGCTCTCCACTCGTAAAAATA